GGGCGCGAGCGCGAGCGCGCGCGAGGCCAGCGGGAGGGGGGAGGCACGGGAGGGACTCTGGCGGGAGGAGGGACGGGGGAGCCACCCGGCAGCCCAAGTCGCCCCAAGCGCGAGACCCCTGAGACGGCTGCTGATTGGCTGACGATGGTGCAGGTGGTGGGCGCGCGGGAGACAGGGCGGCTTCTCTTACCCCCCTTCAACGATTCCACCCCCCCCAACCTCCCTCCGCCAGCGGCCGTTATTTCGCGCGCACGCGCACACCGCACCGCTGTCGTTGCTGAGCGGGAGAACAGGGGAGCGCGCGCCGGGGTACGGATGGGGCGGAGCTAACTTAGGCGCGCGCCCGCCTAACGGTCGGCATGCTCCGGCTTTCGCTTAAGCTTTTTGTTTCTTTTCGGCCACCGTCCGCTCCCCTCCTCATTCCAGCGTCCAGGTTCGTGGCTTCCCGAAGATGGCGTCCAAAGAAGTTTGCCGGCACAGCTCCCATCCGACCCCAAGGGCAATTATACCTCAGCCCCCCCTCCCCACAAAAAACCAGGCTGAAGCACGGGAGGAAAAGCTGTATTTACAACACGCGGTGATACAAGGACTTAAAAAATTATGTATATATATATATAAAAGGCAGCGTGAAGAGTTGGCTGTCAGGAGGGACCACAGCGCTGGCCAGCGGCCAGGCCCAAGATGTTCGCCTGCAACACAGGAAAGAAGGGGACAGCAACGTTAGCGCCTAGGGGCAGAGCAGAGGCCAGGCAGAGCGCGCGCGCGCTTGTGTGTGTGTGTGTCTGTCTGTCCACGCATGCCAGATTACCTTCAGGAACGACTCCATCTGTTTCCCGGAGATGCCCTCCACGCGTTCCAGGTCCTCCACCTGGCAGGGCAATAGCGATGGCGAAAGAGGCCTGGGGGCCACCGCCTACCTTGCCCCACCCCCAACCCGGCTGCCCACCCGGATGGTTACCTGAGTAAAGGGGCCATGGAGCTCCCTCCAGCCCACGATGAGCTGGGCCTTCTTCTGGCCAATGCGCTGCAGGCTGCGCAGATCCCGAGCTGAGCCTTCGTTCAGCAGATCAAGTATTTTTTGGCGCCCACGGGCCAGCAGCTCTGGGCTGATCTGTAGCTCCCAGCAGTCCTCAGCCTTCTCCTGGGGCTCTGAGGCATCCAAGGACTCCAGCTATGAGGCAAGGGGAAGTGAGTGACAGAAACAGCAGCAAAGCGCTTTGGACTCTGCCAAGACTAGGAGCCTAGCAGCAGCTACCTCCCCGCCCTCTCCAGTCTCTTCTCTCCAGTCAAGTGTCTGACCAAAAATCCTTCCCTAATCTACTTATTTTAGTCAATTTTTAAGAATGGTGATACCAGCACCTTTCTCATAATTCTGGTGATCCAATGAAATTAGTGAATGTAAAGCACAAAGCAAGAATAATCTTTCCTTTACTGCAGGAAGAGTGCATGGGAGAAAGCCATAAATAAACACCTCCTCATAGTCCTCTCAGTTTGTGGGTAGTTCTAGTGGTGTTTCATTTTGGGCACAGGAGCTTGTGTGTGTTTGAGTTTCTTGCGACCTTAGGTCATATTCATGTAAGTGGACTCTTAAGTATGTAGAGGGCAGGAGCGAGGCTACACATAATCAGCAGCTAAATGAGGGAGGGAACCATTCAGAAGGAAAAAAACCTGCCACCTGTCAACCAATATGATAGGGACCATCAACATTGTTGCATTTCACCCTTAACTGCCTTCATCACACACAGGGTAAACAAGCTGGAAGGTATCAGCCAGGATGTATAATTTCAAGGCCAGTGGTCTGCCTGCTACAGCTCACTCCCCTTTACCTCTTTTAGATTTGATGTGCATCCTAAACCACCAGCTAGTCTCACCTTTCTCTTCTGGCCTTTCTTCTTTAGGATATGGATCTCAGCACTTGGGGATGCTGCCTGTTCCTGAACTGAAAACAGGAATTGTGAATTGGAATTAGGGCAGAGGCCACTTCCCCCTCTGCTGGAAGCCACCAGGTTCTCCCATCTGATTGCCCAGTTCCCTTCCACCCTGGTTAACCATTTGTTGGGTTACCACATGACCTTATTTCTGTATTGGAAAGTAACCTCAGTTAATCTTATATTATCACACTAACCTCTCAACCCAATGTACTAAACTCCTGAAGGCAAAGCACCCAGCACTGCTTCAGATCCTCCCCAGCCCTCCCTGAGGCCAGTATATGCTAGAAAGACATGAATGACATGGTGGCTACTCCTTCCTTATGGGATTGCAGTTATCTGGCCCCTAGATCCAACTTACTGAGTTGTAGGGGCATCACCACAGCCTTTTTCAGGGGTTTTGCTGTTGTGACTGTGCGACGGGGAAGGGGTCGGAGCATTGTGTGAGAGCAGTTCTCCTTCTCCTTTGCGTCTGAGGCCTCCTGAGCCAGCACCTTGGCTTCCAGTTCTTTTTGCTTCATCTTAAGCCTCTATTGGAAAGGTTCAGGAAAAGATATGAACCAGACCCCACCCCAGAGCAGCAGATTAGGAAGAGGAGGTAGAAATCGAAAAGAAGAAGCTACCAGGAGACAACTGGGCCTAAAATAATTAATGGCTTTCAAATGATCCAGAGGTGGAACAAGACTGTAAATACTGAAGGGAAGACTGTTCAAATAGGATCCTCACTTAATGTGAGCTGGGTTTTAGGAAATACAATGTAAAATCTATTTGGAATATTTTCCTCTTACCTCCTCACATCTCATCAAAGTTGTTTTTTTCAAAGTTCAATCATATTAAGGATATTCAAGCAGAAGTCTAAGAACTTTCAGTTGAGAGTGAAAACTGGACTCTAGTCTAGCCCGAGTGTCCTGCCCTGTCTGGAGATCCTGGGAACACTTCTCAAGGTCATTAAAAACCCTAGCCCAGGGCTAGGGTTGTGGCTCAGTGGTAGAATGCTTGCCTAGCATGTGTGAGGCACCACATAAAAATAAATAAAGGCTTAGAAAATAATTATTAAAACACACACACACACACATTAAAAAAAAAAAAACAACAAACCCTAGCCCACCTCTAACACTTACCTCAATCTCCAAGTCCTTCTCCTCCACTGTCTTAATGAGCACCATCCGCTCCCGCTTTGGGGTATTCAGCAGAGGGGTCCCTTGGGTCCCGTGGGAACCCAGCAGGCGGTCCAGGCTCAGGAGGCGTTCCAGCATGGCTGGATCCAAGCTGCTTAGCTTCTGCAGGGGGCTGAGCAGTCAAAGAAGTTATTCCCCATTCTCCCGCCTTTCTCATCACTTTTTCCAGCAACAAGATTCTTCTTGTTGCTTAATTTGGTGTATCTGTGATTCCAGAACCCTGATGCTAGACAATCTTGAACAAGTCATCCAGCCTGACTATAATGTTTTCATTAGGCAAAGTAACCTCGAAGAGATGTCAGTTAAGAACAGTCATTTAATGAAAACTTGAGTGCCAGGTATTAGAGATCTATGACAGTGCCCTGCCCTGGAGACACTGTCTAATAAGTAAAGAGATCATAATAGGTGACAGCAAGGACTCAGGTGGAAGTCATCTTTAGCAGGGCTATAAGAGCCCCTAAAAACCTCAAATGCCAAGCCTTTATCATGTGGGAAGCAGGAAAGGCCTATCTTCAAGCCTGGCTGAGCACAGAGATGTTTATCA